AAAGAATTTAATTGCACAACACAAAACTGTGAGAATAGGAAAAAAGAAATAAAACAAAGAGTTTTTTGTAGAGCATGCGGTATATGCAGCATTTAATGCAGGGTTTTCAATCATGTTAACAGAATTCGTATATTACTTATTTGTGTCTCAGAGTCAGTGTGCCGTTAGGTTCATATAGGGAGATTGGATATAATTGATGATGTCAACATTTATGGATAGTTTCAATGTTTATATCTATCAAGCCAAATGCTAATAGTTCAGGAAGATGATGGTCGAGATATCCGTAGTTCGATCCTCGAAGTTGATGGGCGAGATATCCGTAGTTATGTCTTCAATGTTGATGGTCGAGATATCCATAGTTCGGTCCTCGAAGTTGATGGGCGAGATTGATATCCATAGTTCGGTCCTCAATGTTAATGGTCGAGATATCCGTAGTTCGGTCCTCGAACTTGATGATCGAGATATCCGTAGTTAGGTCTTCAATGTTGATGGTCGAGATATCCATAGTTCGGTCCTCGATGTTGATGGGCTAGATTGATATCCATAGTTCGGTCCTCAATGTTAATGGTCGAGATATCCGTAGTTCGGTCCTCGAAGTTGATGATCGAGATATCCGTAGTTAGGTCTTCAATGTTGATGGTCGAGATATCCATAGTTCGGTCCTCGAAGTTGATGGGCGAGATTGATATCCATAGTTCGGTCCTCAATGTTAATGGTCGAGATATCCGTAGTTCGGTCCTCGAAGTTGATGATCGAGATATCCGTAGTTAGGTCTTCAATGTTGATGGTCGTGATATCCATAGTTCGGTCCTTGAAGTTGGTGGGCGAGATATCCTTAGTTCTTTATCTGTTAAACCACACTTTCCCTTGGTTACCGCTTTTACCGCCCCACGATGTAGATAAGTACGGGAGTTTACATCCAACTCTCTCCAGACTGTTATTTCTCAACTGGTGATCTTTCAATCTTGCCGCTTCGACATCTCTTTATGGTCACGTGATCTGCCACGGGCTTGACATGCATGAAATCAAAGGTCTCATCACACAGTCATGGTGCAGCTGTGGTGTAGAGAAGTACACCTACACACTTTCACCATACGCCGGCATGCATTAGTTGAAATGAAGGAGAAAGAAAGAAAGAAAGAAAGAAAGAAAGAAAGAAAGAAGCAATGCTCTTAAGTATAAAATTAGTCCTTCCGTTTCAATTTGGGAAACGTAGTGTCACGTCATAATATAAAACAATGGATCGTCACTTTGTTCGTAAATTGATCTGTCATGCTGAAATTAAAAAAAAAAATGAACATCATCCCAACGTAATTTTTGCTTAGAACAGCTAAAAACAGGATTAGTGGTATGGCAAGTCATTGAAATGTTTTCATTGAATCCCTGATAGATACGCTCTGATATCACTGTTTCAAAGGTCATCCAGGCGTTGAACCTAAAGTTTATAGTAGGTTCTATAAACACTTCAATCAAATGCTGCACGGTCTGTAATTTCACAAGTCTATGTAATTTGTGTACTTTATCTAAATTTTGAATCAACGTACCCTAAATATAGCACCATACAGCTGTACTTTGACTCCCAGGTGAAATTTCCTCCATTACGAACCCAGGAATACATAATTTCTCCTGACATCTTTGACTGTTTTTGTATGATAGGAGTAATTATAATCTGTCTTAACGTCTAAATTAAACTTTAAAAAATGTGAAGAAAATAACCACCAAAAAAACCCCGATATTTCTGAAACCATTTTTGAGAAACAGACATTATTCAACCGAAAAAAATGGATAATTCCAAATAGAATGAATTCTGCAACGGTTAGAGTTCTCATTGCACTATTATAGTTGCCTATTACCGCTGCTCAGCATTTTGGTCTGGGGACGCAAAACAATCTAAGGCCAGGGGGCAGCTCTCCTCGTGCAATATCTCTCCCTCAAAAGATGGCTACTTTCATTATTTAACACCAAAGGTATCTCTTAAAGGGGAGGTGCCCAGGGAACTGGACAATTTTGGGCCTCTCCTTCCGACCCATGTACGTGTGGAACCCCCGCCACACGCACACACATTTGACCTCGCAATGAATAAGTTTAAAAAAAGAGGGAACAACAGAGAGGAAAACTGGACCAATAGGTTACAACAGGAAGAGGGATAATCATTTCAACTTATATTTAAAGAGATCAATTAGAAAAGATCCAACTCAGTCCATAAATTGTTTTGCACGTGTGAGAAGAGTTTCACCTATGTGAGTCCATTTGAAGAGCAGTGAAAATAAGGCTTGAAAATAAAATCGTACGTGAACTCTGTGAGGCGCCTTGTTTACTCCAGGACAGAAAGTTAGAAGATTAGAGAGGGCGAAGTTCACTTTGAATAAGTTGGAAAATGATCCTGGGACAATATATATATATATATATATATATATATATATATATATATATATATATGAACATTATTTCAAACCTTCGTGGGCTTCTGATGCATAGCTATGATTAATTAATGAAACATATCATTTTCGTTTATCATCGATTTCATCACGATTCTTCTATTAAACTCGGAGAGTAATTATACATTCTTATTATTCAAAGTAGAGTCCAGTTGAGTTAAAAACCTCGGAGAATTCCAGTAAGATACCTTTAATCATTTCTAAGATACAACACTTCAGAGCTTAATCTAACAATTGGACAATTTTGCTGTTACAGCCGGTGTATATATATATATATATATATATATATATATATATATATATATATATATATATATATATATATATATATATATTTTTTGTGTGTGTGTGTGTGTGTGTGTGTGTGTGTGTCTTTGCGGTAAATAAATCAAAATAAAAGTTCAAATATCTTATCTCCAGACTTCATCTTTTGCAGAAATGTATCCGCTCATCAGGGGTTAGAAAAATAAATTGAATTTATTTATTAACAGATATCATATGTTGCGTTATTTTATATTTACGTAAAATTGATTTTAAATTCATATATATATATATATATATATATATATATATATATATATATATATATATATATATATATAATTAATTAAGTATGCATTTTTAAGAACTTGCAGGCGACTCAAGTTTCGCCATTAAGCACGTCAGACTCTTCAAGTCAGTATCAATGATACTGACTTGCAGAGCCTGACGAGCTTAATAGCGAAAATTGTATCTCCTGTAAATTCGTAACAGTGTATATTTGAATACGATTTTTATAGTTCTCTGCTAGTGCAGACTTTTCAGTTGACTTTATGAAAAGTCAACTGAAAATCTCTACGAACCAGTAAGGTATTCTGCTTTTCTTATTATTAATAACTATATATATATATATATATATATATATATATATATATACACCCAAGTATAGAATTGGTGTATACGGAATAAATTCCAATAACCAACAATTACTATTCTTAAAAGAGTGCTCAATACATAGTAGAGCAGATGTAATTATTTATTTAAAAATTATAACATAAATAAGTCATAAAAATCACTACAAAAATAGCCATTTTGTTTCAACACCTCTGGTGTCTTATCAAGTGATGATTTTGAATTCAACATCATCACTTGATAAGACACTGGAGGTGTTGAAACAAAATGGTTATTTTTGTAGTGATTTTATAACATATTTATGTTATAATTTTAAAATAAATAATTATATATATATCTATATATATATATATATATATATATATATATATATACGAGGTATGATCAAAAAGTATTGGGACTGTTGCTATGGTAAGTACGCAGAGCAAAGCAGCTTGGTAAAAAATTGACCTTGAGCTCTTTCGCACATGCGCACTGTTATAACTTTTTCGCTCACTTCTGTTGTTTATAGCACTGCTTGAAAGGCAAGTGTGTACAGTGTGGTCGTCTTACTACACACACAGAGGTTCCATTAGAAACAATATCTTGTGCTGCAGTTTTGGGCCTAGCACAACTTTTCTCAGGTCTGACAATAACGATAATCCCCTGATCTTAGCCTTTGCGACCTTTTTTTTCCTGTTCAAAATTCAAATCGCAGTTGAAAAGAACTAGCTTTCAAGACATCGACGAAATCAGCTATCCCCGAAAAGGAGTTCCAGCAATGCTTTCTAAAGTAAGAAGCCGGAAGAGAGTTTCGCAATCGAGAAGTCTGAGAGAGGAAACTGTTAGCATAGAACTTACGGTTACATCTAACCATTTCAACTGTAAAATGATGAGACCTAACTGCCAATGTAGCAGAGCGCTTTTAAAATATATATTTAGGGCAGTGGGTGCTGATCTGGTCCAGGCATATCATTTTGTTTAATAATTTCATCCCAAGCAAGGCAATAAAGCCACTAAGACATAAGGTGTTACTGAGTGTAAAAGAATAAGAATAAAGAGAAACATTACTAAGGAAGTGTCTCTAATATTTCAATATTTCAGTCTAGATAACTATTCCAGTCGTGGGGTTGTTGGTTAGTTTCTTTGAATAGCAAAAGTACCGTCGTTTATTTGCGTTATGGTAAGTAGTTCCAGGCGAGGTTCTACTGTGATCTCGTTAGGGATTGAGTGTCTGTAAGATGCCTCACATCCCCAGTACCTTGCTCAGTGTCTTCATAGACACCAGCCCATGATGGGATGATGTTTAAATATCTAAAAGACCTACTCAAGAGGCGAATCATTTCTTTCGTACACTATTGGTAAAAAGTTCCATTCGGACAGCTTCTTCACAAGAGCCGATACTTTATGAAACTGACTCCCGAGAGGATGCTTCCTCGACCACTACAATTTTAACGCCTTCAAGTCTAGTCTCAGCCATTACTTATCGTACGTTGTCCGAGTTTGCAGCTACTTTTCCCGCCTACGTCCATACAACAACCTCATTTAGTAAGACTCTAGTTTGAGTGGCTCTTGTGTCCGGTAAACAAAGAACGCTCTCAGTTAACATCAAAGCAATTGGTCCAAAAAAATGACAAAGATTAAATTGAACAATCTAAAAAAGTTACTTCGACATTATAAACAGGTGACTTACAGCCACATCACGTTCAAACACTAGTTTCCATACGATCGCCGAAGTTAAGCAACGTCAAGCCTGGTCACTGCGTAGATGGGTAACCTCTTGAGAATATCAGGTGGTGTAAGATTGGATGTGACGTTGGTGTAATTGATAATGGCTCGGAATTGATTAATCGGAGAGTCGAGTTCCCGTATGATCACCGAAGTTAAGCAACGTCGAGCTTGGTCAGTACCTAGTTGGGCAACCGCTTGGGAATACCAGGTGCTGTAAGCTTGGATGTGCGGGTGGTGTAATGGATAATGGCTCGGAATTGATTAATCAGAGAGCCGCGTTTCAATTTCCGTTGGGTTCGTTATATTCACTTAGGCGTAAATACCCTCGCGATAGGTAGGAATTCCTCTTTTCTCCCTCCAGCTATGGATTAAATAGTAAGACCGTTATTATCTACACCCGATCCAATTCTTACAATCTAAAAGTATTTTCTGGCTTTAAATAACCTACAATGTGTTGATAACCCATAAAAAACGAATCACTCAAACAAAAAATATAAACAGGTATACCGAGATTTCGTAGACACTAACCTCTCATCTTAACTGTTTGCTCTTCAGATAATCTTAGAAAGGTTGAGAATAATACTGTACGCTTTCATAATGCTTTAATCTGGAACAAGGATTATGCAATAGGGCTATGATAAGGATCGAACTCTCAAAATGAGAAAATTAAATTATCAGACTATCTTGCTAGTCACTGAATTAAACTAGGCGCCATTGAAGTGTCATATTTATTATCTTATGTTTGACAACATCAAAACTCCATAGGGTATCTCTCTACTTCACAGATCTCGATCACAAGTGCAGCATGCGTCATTTCTCTGAAGTGTTTTGCGTTTATATGCTAACAGTCTGATGTTGTGCCCAGCATTGAGGCTTTTGAGGGGAGGTGGGGGTTAAGATTCGGGTTTCTTGGTTCCCGCGAGGACAAGTGATTTTTTTTTCTTAAATGAAAAAAAAAAAAAAAGAAGAAAAAAAAGAAAAAGATTATATGGTTATATGAGCCGAAATTGTGATATCTCTTACCTTCCTGATTCGCTTTGAGGCCGCTTTACTCTCGAAGGGGGTAAAAGTAGGTGGAAATAGAAAAAGTCAATTTTCGTCGACGGAAAGAAAGAAAATAGAAATGTTCTTTCTGTTTTATTGACGACGACGACGAAGAAGAAGAAGAAGAAGAAGAAGAAGAAGAAGAAGAAGAAGAAGAAGAAGAAAATGGGAAGGGGAAACAAGAAGAAGAAGAAGAAGAAGAAGAAGAAATGGGAAGGGGAAACAAAGAAGAAGAAGAAGAAGGGGGAGGAGGAGGATAAAAAAAAAGAAAGAGAAATGGAGAGGGAAAAGAAGAAGAAGAAGAAGAAGAAATGGGAAGGGGAAACAAAGAAGAAGAAGAAGAAATGGGAAGGGGAAACAAAGAAGAAGAAGAAGAAGAAGAAGGAGGAGGAGGAGGAGGAGGAGGAGGATAAAAAAGAAGAAAGAGAAATGGGGAAGGAAAAGAAGAAGAAGAAGAAGAAGAAGAAGAAGAAGAAGAAGAAGAAGAAGAAGAAGAAATGGGAAGGAAACAAAGAAGAAGAAGAAGAAGAAGAAGAAGAAGAAGAAGAAGAAGAAGAAGAAGAAGAAGAAATGGCAGGGGAAACAAAGAATAAGAAGAAGAAGAAGAAGAAGAAATGGGAAGGAGAAACAAAGAAGAAGAACAAAAAGAAGAAGAAGAAGAAGAAGAAATGGGAAGGGGAAACAAAGAAGAAGAAGAAGAAGAAATGGGAAGGGGAAACAAAGAAGAAGAAGAAGAAATGGGAAGGGGAAACAAAGAAGAAGAAGAAGAAGGAGGAGAAGGAGGAGGAGGAGGAGGAGGAGGATAAAAAAGAAGAAAGAGAAATGGGGAGGGAAAAGAAGAAGAAGAAGAAGAAGAAGAAGAAGAAGAAATGGGAAGGGGAAACAAAGAAGAAGAAGAAGAAGAAGAAGAAATGGGAAGGGGAAACAAAGAATAAGAATAAGAAGAAGAAGAAGAAGAAGAAGAAGAAGAAGAAGAAGAAATGGGAAGGAGAAACAAAGAAGAAGAAGAAGAAGAAGAAGAAGAAGAAGGAGGAGGAGGAGGAGGAGGATAAGAAAAAGAAGAAAGAGAAATGGGGAGGGAAAAGAAGAAGAAGGAGAAGAAGAAGAATAAGAAGGAGGAGGATAAAAAAAGAAGAAAGAGAAATGGGGAGGGAAAAGAAGAAGAAGAAGAAGAAGAAGAAGAAGAAGAAGAAGAAGAAGAAATGGGAAGGGGAAACAGAAAAGAAGAAGAAGAAGAAGTGGGCAAGGGGAACAGAGAGCAGGAGGAGAATGAGGAAGATGCGGAAGAAGATGAAGAAAACAAAAATGAATGGTTGAACAGCCCAAGTAAACGAAGCAATGAGAGATTGTAAAGGACGAATGAAAACAAAAACAAAAACAAACAAAAAAAAACAAACAAAAAAAACGAGGGAGATGATGAAGAGGTAGTACTGTAACGCCTCGAGAAATGGAACCAGCGAACCAAGTTCAAATCCAGGTTGGTGTAGTTTCGCAATAATATCCTTCAAAATAGCACGAATCAGCGTGCTCAAACAAATCAGGTTGCAGATGATTCTCTGTTGCAGGTATCGTATAACTGAGCACAAGGGTACCTCAACGTGCTGTAATGGTATAAGCTTGTTTTGCTAGATCATATTACGACGGAATAGTGAGTTCGATCCTCACTGCGTGCCCCACATTTCTGGCCTTGTGCCACATCTAAGATACGCTTTACACCTACGTTGTGTTTCAGTAACAGTAGGAATATTGGTGAAAAACTGTCAAAGATCAGGCTTGACTCCCCTCTGTCCTTGCTTTTGTTTTGTTTTTCTTTTTATGTGCCATGTCCTTTCAGTAAGGTAGGCGATCATGGCTCTCCATCCTTCCTCTATCCTTTACAGCTCTCAGCAAATTCCTTCCCTCTGCTTCCTCCTACGTTCTGTCACTCACTTGCTCAAGCTTGTCAGGTATGTCACGCGCTGCTTTCTTTTGTTTCACTTTCCCTCTATTCGACCCGTGAGTATTAGATTCTACAGGCCTCCTTCCTCATTATGTGTCCCAGAAACTTCAGCTGCCTCTTTCTGGTGTTAAGTATAAGCCTTCTCTTTGTTTGTAACATCTCTAAGACCTCGTCGTTGCTCACATGCTTGGTCAATGATATCCTTAGCATCCTTCTGTAGAACCACATCTCCATCGCCCTGAGTCTCTTCTTCCTCTTTGAGAAAATCGTCCAACATTCGCTGCTGTAAAGAAGAATAGATGTCACGTAACAGCGTAGTATTCTGAAATCCGGCTGTCTCGCAATACTCTGCTAAGCTTTTGGAATGTGTCCTATGCTTGTGAAAAGGGATATCGGTGAAGAACTGTCGAAGATCAGGCTTGAATCCTCTCTGCCCTTGCTATCCTTGTTAAAAAGGATATCGGTGGATATCTGTTGAAGATCAGGCTTGACTCCTCTCTGCCCTTGCTATGCTTGTGAAAAGGGATATCGGTTTGTTGAAAGTGTGTTATATACCCGGTCAAAACAAATCTGGGCTATTAAGATCGGCTTTGTGTCACTCATTGCAACGAACAATTTCTTCATCAAAAGTAACACTTAAGTTAAACTGACACCAGTATACCTAATGACCAATCCCACTCAAGTTTAGAATTTCACCTCTCCGTAATTGACACAAACCAAAAAATTCATGGTGTCGCATTGTTTTAACATGAAAATATTTTTCTTTCTTTAGAAATAAAAGTAGATCGCGAGTCAACCTTTGACATCAGCCATGGTGTCATAATACTGTATATCTTATATATAAAGTATAGTGTATGTGTGTGTGTTTGTGCGTGTGTGTGTTCAAGTAACCCCTCCGCTCCCATTGATTCGATTTCTATGATTTATAGCTTATTCAAATGCCCTAGAAAAATTAGGCGCAGGGAACGATTTTTGTTGAGCTCAGATTCAGATGTGTCAGATTATGCGAGGTTAAAAATATATATTAATATATTATACTCCATAATATAGGCTTTACTTAATTAGCTATTATGTTTCTCTAACTCTTCAAATGTTCAATGTATAACTAATTCTAATTTCTATTTTCCCATTTTTACACTATATTAATTTTATCTCATAAATTGTCCTATGTTCTGTCATCCATGAAATAAAAATAATTGTTTGTACGGAAAATAAGGATCTACGTACATCAAATCGTCTTTAAATTAAGTGGCAGCAGAAGAATTATTGTTGAACTTTTAAAAGGTAAACTTAAACATAAATTCAATACTTAAATGTAGCGATCAATTTTGAGTTCTTCTGTAGTTTATTGATGCCTATTGCATCTACTCCTCCCTAGATATTGTGATCATAGCCAAACAAAGAGCCCTCCACAGGAGCTAGCTTAAATGCCACCCGATAGTGCGGCTTTTAATCTAGTAACATATATAATAACAATTCCTATATATACTGTTTGTAGATCATGAGTATATATATATATATATATATATATATATATATTACACTGAACCATTCATACAAAAACTAGATTAGTAAAGTTAATGATATAGAATGGCGAAATCTCTTCGCAAACAAAATTTTAAATCGAAATCACTCGATGAATGTTATGATGCTTGCTTTTAAAAATTATAAGCTGTATAAGATCTTTCTTTAATACGCAAGTACTTTCATTACATTCAGTCATCTTCAGGCATGGAAATTATTATTTTTTGGTAAAATTCAAGTAGCATCCGAGACGAAAAAATTAAAGGTGAATCGAATTTTTTTTTTTTTTTTATGAAATGTGTTATTTCTGAATGCCTGAAGATGACTGAATGTACAGTCGAAAGTACTTGTGTATTAAAGAAATACCTTATACAGCTTATAATTTTAAAAAACAAGGATCATAACATTCATCGAGTGATTTGTTTGCGTAGGGATTTCGCCATTTTATATCATTAACTTTACTAATCTACTTTTTGCATGGATGATTCATTGTAATATAAATTGAACTGCACCACATATTTGATATATATATATATATATATATATATATATATATATATATATATATATATATATATATATATTTCGTTGTTTCGTTGTTTTTCAGGCATGAATGAGTAGGTAGAACAACGAACGTAGGTATATGTATATTTATTGATATATACTTCTTAGCTTTGTCTAACCACACTGAGAACTGTTTTGTTTACACCT